CTTTGTTGCTTCATTTGCAAACATTTTCTCCCATTTTGAGGGTTGTCTTTCCATGTGCACTTGAGAAGAAAGTGTATCCTGCCGCTTTCTGGTGGAATGTCCTATAAATATCAATTAAATCTGTCTGGTCTGTGGTGTCATTTAAAGCTTGTGTTTCCTTATTTTCTGTCTGGATGATCTGTCCATTGGTGTAAGTGGGGTGTTGAAGTCCCCCACTATTATTGTGTTACTGTTGATTTCCCCTTTTATGGATGTTAGCATTTGCCTTATGTATTGAGGTGCGCCTATGCTGTGTGTATAAATACTTAAAATTGTTACATCTTGTTGGATTGAACCCTTGATCATAATGTAGCGTCCTCCCTTATCTCTTGTCACAGTCTTTATTATAAAGTCTATTTTATCTGATATGAGTATTGCTACTCCAGCTTTCTTTTAATTTCCATTTGCATGGAATTATCTTTTTTCTATCGCCTCACTTTCAGTCTGTATGTGTCCCTAGGTATTCAGTCTGTATGTGTCCCTAGGTATGAAATGGGTCTGTTGTAGACAGCATATATATGGGTCTTCTTTTTGTATCCATTCAGCCAATCTGTGTCTTTTGGATGGAGCATTTAATCCATTTACATTCAAGGTAATTATCAATATGTATATTCCTATTACCATTTTCTTAATTGTTTTGGGTGTGTTTTTGTGGGTCTTTTTCTTCTCTTGTGTTTCCTGCCTAGAGAAGTTCCTTTAGCATTTGTTGTAAAGGTGGTTTGGTGGTGCTGAATTCTCTTACTAGCTTTTGCTTGTCTGTAAAACTTTTGATTTCTCCGTTGAATCTGAATGAGATCCTTGCTGGGTAAAGTAATCTTGGTTTTAGGTTTTTCCCTTTCATTATTTTAAACACATCTTGCCACTCCCTTCTGGCCTGTAGTTTCTGCTGAAAAAATCAGTTGATAACCTGATAGAGATTCCCTTGTATGTTATTTGTTGCTTTTCCCTTGCTGCTTTTAGTAGTTTTTCTTTGAATTTAATTTTTGTTAGTTTGATTAATATGTGTCTTGCTGTGTTTCTCCTAGGGTTTATCCTGTATAGGACTCTGTGCTTCCTGGACTTGGGTGGCTATTTCCTTTCCCATGTTAAGGAAGTTTTCGACTATGATCTCTTCAAATATTTTCTCAAATCCTTTCTCTTTTTCTTCTTCTTCTGGGACCCCTGTCATTTGAATGTTAGTGTGTTTAATGTTGTCCCAGAGGTCTCTGAGACTGTCCTCAATTCTTTTCATTCTTTTTTCTTTATTCTTTTCCTCAGCAGTTATTTCCACCATTCTATCTTCCAGCTCATTTATTCTTCTTCTCCTTCACTTATTCTGCTGTTGATTCCTTCTAGTGTATTTTTCATTTCAGTTTTGTTGTTCATCACTGTTCTTTAGTTCTTCTAGGTCTTTGTTAAACATTTCTTGTATTTTCTCAGTCTGTTCCTCATTTTATTTCTGACGTTTTGGATCATCTTTATTATCATTACTCTGAATTCTTTTTCAGGTAGGTTGCCTATTTCATCTTCATTTATTTGGTCTTGTAGGTTTTTACCTTGCTCCTTCACCTGTAACATATTTTTTTGTCATCTCATTTTTTTTTTTTTTCGATGGGTGGGGCTGTGTTCCTGTCTTAGTGGCTCTTTGGCCTGAGGCGTCCAGCAGTGGATTGCAGGCAGTTGGGTAGAGCCGGGTCTTGGTGCCAAGATGAGGACCTCCGGGAGACCTCACTTCCCTTAATATTCCCTGGAGCCTGAGTTCTCTGTTAGTCCAGCGGTTTGGACTTGGTGCTGCCACCATAGGAGCTCAGGCCCGAACCCCGGCCTGGGAACCAAGATCTTGCAAACAAACAAAGAGCTGAACAATAACAATAAATAAAATTAGAAAAATAAAAAATATATTAGAAAAAATAAAAATATAAATGAAACAACAAGGTAAAACAGGGACTTCCCTGGTGGTCCAGTGGGTAAGACTCTGTGCTCCCGGGTTTGATCTCTGGTCGGGGAACTAGATCCCACATGCATGCTGCAACTAAGAGTCCACATTGCCACAACTAAAGATCTGGTATGCTACAACGAACACCCTGTGTGCTGCAACTAAGACCCAGCATAGCCAAAACAAACAAATAAATAAATAAATACAAGTTAAAACAACCACAACAGCAAAAAAAAAGAAAAGAAAAGAAAAGGCCTTGGCTGTGGGGGGCGGGGCTTAGGCTCTGGACCCTCGCAGCCAGAAAAGGCCCTGAGTGGGCGGGGCAGGCACAGGGCTTAGGCTCAGCATGCCTGGAGGGGGCCTCAGAGTGCAGAGGATCAGGCCTGGGACCTCAGCAGGCTCCCCGGGGCCCGAGTGGGCGGGGGAAATTCTGGCAGTGTTCCCTTCTGATCCTCTGATCCCCCAAGGGTCTCTCCCTGTCCCTGTTGATCCCCTCACTGTGAGTGGGCCCCTCCCCCAGCCACCCCTCAGGGATGCTGGTCCTGTCCTGCCTCCACTTCTCCTCCCCTCTCCCTCCCCCCCCACGTCCTACCCAGTCACTTGGGAGTTCCTCCCATCCCCTTAGGTGTCCGAGGTCCCCCACCAGCACCTGGTAGGTGCCCTAATTGTGAGGAGATGCAAACTCCACATCAGTAAGTTTTTTTAAAATGCATGCTGATGTGACAGCTGTCACAATACAATCTAACAAAACTGTTTCAAATGAAGGTAAAGACATCTAAGTGCTACTAGAGCCATCTTACAGAAAAACCCAAATGAACTTTTTGGCCAGCCCAATAAAAGAGACCCAAGTCAAACTTCTGGTCATAAAAACTACAATATCTGAAATAAAAAATACACTGGGGCTTCCCTGGTGGCGCAGTCGTTGAGAGTCTGCCTGCCGATGCAGGGGACGCGGGTTCGTGCCCCGGTCCGGGAAGATGCCACACGCCGTGGAGCGGCTGGGCCAGTAAGCCATGGCCGCTGAGCCTGCGCTCCACAGCAGGAGAGGCCACAACAGTGAGAGGCCCGCGTACCACGAAAAAAAAAAATACACTGGATGTGATTAACGTCAGGTTAGACATTGAAGAATAAAAAATTACCAAACTCGAAGACCAGAAATGGAAACTTATCACAAATGAAATACAAAGAAAAAAGTTTTGGTTTTGGTTTTTTTTAAGTGAACAGAGCATCAGAGAGCTCTGGGACAATTTCAAGTTACCTAACATTCATGTATTTGGATCCCGGAAAGAGAAGGACAGCAGAAAAATATTTGAGAGGGCTTCCCTGGTGGCGCAGTGGTTGAGAGTCCACCTGCCGATGCAGGGGACACGGGTTCGTGCCCCGGTCCGGGAAGATCCCACATGCCGCAGAGCAGCTGGGCCCGTGAGCTGTGGCCGCTGAGCCTGCACGTCCAGAGCCTGTGCTCCGCAACGGGAGGGACCACAGCAGTGAGAGGCCCGCGTACCGCAAAAAAAAAAAAAAAAAAAAAAAATTTGAGAAATAGTGGCCAAAAACGTCTCAAATTTCAGGAAAACTGTAAACCCACAGATCCAAGAAGCTCAGTAAACTCAAAGCATAAGAAACATGAAGAAAACTACACTGAGACACATCATTAACCAAATGCTCAAAACCAGTGATAGTGAGAAAAATCTTAAAAGCTACCAGGGGAGGAAGACACAAACAAAAAGTAAGAAAACTAAGGGTGACAGCAGATTTTATGTTGGAAATAATGCAGCTAATAGTGGAGGAATCTCTTTAGGGTACTGAAGAAAAACTCAACCTAGAATTCCATCGCTCCAAAAAATAAAATCTTTCAAAAAGCAAGGCAGTGTAAAGACAGTTTTAGACATAAAAGCTGAAATCAGGGATGCATCAGCAGTAGAACTGTGCTACAGGAAATGTTAAAAGAAGCCATTCAAGCAGAAGGAAAATGACAGCAGATGGAAATATTAATCTGTACAACAAAATGAAGTGCAGTGTAAGGGGTTACGAAGTAGGTAAATACATAAGGTTTTTAAATTTAACAGTGTGGTGTGGAGTTTATAACAAATGTAAAAATAAGATGTTGGTCAAACAGTAACACGAAGGATTGGAGGAGAGAAATGGAAGTTATATACAATTATAAAATTTTTATGTAATACAAGAAGTGATATGTTATTTGAATGTATGCTGTGATATATATACTGTAAACCTTAAAGCAACCACTTAAATAACAAAGCTATAGGTAGCAAGCCAACAAAGGAGAAAAGAGTGATATAAAATGTTTTCATTGCTGTATAGTATCCCACTGTAGGAATATAGCAGTACATTTTATAATGTCCAGTGGGTGGATACTTCAGTAATTTTAGTTGTTGCTAGTACACATTTCTACTTTGAACGTATTTTACATGTCCATGTATGTGAATTACAGTAGTTTCATGTAGTTATATGATCTATATGTATATGTAGATACAGAATTACTGAGTTGAAGCAGGGGTAAGGTCAAATTGTTTTCCAAAATGTTTTCATCAGTTTACATTTCAACAGCAGAATAGGCAATTTCCATTACTCCACATCCCCCAAAACATTTGGTATTATCCGTCTTCTTAATTTTAGTCAATCTGGTAGGTATATAGTGGTGTCTCATTATTATCATAATTTGCATTCTCTCGTCCTTTTTATTTTTCATATCTCTTCCTATACCCCTCCTTTATGATCCTTCACTTATCCTGTCAGTGACACCCAGGAAGCCTTAGGTCACCTAAAAACAGTGACATTCACACATAAAAAGATCTTATTAAGAGAATCTACTGTGAATTAGCTGCATGTGGCCATTGGGGCACCAGAAGAAATCGAAACATCTTTATAGTATTTATGGTAAAGATTTCACTCTGCAAGGAATCATACAGGTGTGTTTCCTTTACACAACTCACTTTCAGTTTGGATCCCTGCTGTGAGATAAAATTTTTTTAATTGTTGTTTGATGGAAAAGAAAAAACAAACATCACTTATACTCATTTCCCTGCAGGTGTGAAATGAGCAACTCTGAAGATGAGGACCTCCCCCAGCTCTCTTCCCATGCCCTGGCAGCTCTGCAGGAATTTTATGCTGAGCAGAAACAGTACACCGACCTCGGTGGCGATGACAAGTATAACGTTGGAATAATAGAAGAGAACTGGGTAAGTTAATGCATTCCCCACCCATCAGGAAGTGTTGGTGTGGAGCCTATTCTGTACCTAGTTCAGTGTTTGTCTGTATCTGACCTAATACCCAAGTTTATCTCACTTGTCACTACGAAGCTGATAACCTGTTCAGGAGCTAAGACAGAAAGCAGTCCACGAACATTTTAAGACAGTATAAATGCAGATTTTCCTAATTCTGACTCTCAGGCTGCCTGGTGATCAGAGGAGGGGACATTTCAGATAGAAGAACAGCATATCATTATATCCAACACAAACTGTGCTTCCTTCTTGTATACAGATGCATTCTGTTGGTTGTTATGGAGCCCAGCAGTCCTTGAGAAAAGGGAAAATTGATCATTGCAGTAATGGGGTAACTGGACTTAAACATGTGGTAAAAAATAGATGAAACTGAGTTTTTAAGAAGGTATTAATAGTTTCTGGGGCACACTGTGTATTTTAATTGTATTTTTATGGTCCAAATAAAAATAGGAATTTTAAAAAGTGAGTTCAGAAAAACTAACCTAACCTGGAATGTAGAAATTTACATTTTTGAAGGAGATAGTTGAGAAATAGATGAGGCTTGAAATTTCTGTCTGTGACTACCCCTTGATAATAGGCCTGCCTCTCTTTGCAGCTGGAAGGAGGGGTGTGTGTGCGTTTAAGCAGACTTTTACATTTTGTGTCAAGTTCAGATCTCTTAAGTTATATAAAATTTCCCTGTTTACCATCTGTTTGAGACTGGGACAGAAATGTTTCTTTATATTTATTCTAAACGTTCCACTTACTCAGATGCCTCTTTCTCACTGCTTCCCTTCTTTATGTGCTTTTGTCTTTAGCGTGATTCTTGAATAGTCAATATTAGAAAACTTGAAGTACGTTATTATTCTTGAGGTGGTCTTTTTCTCTTTTCCTTCTGCTAATTTAAATACTATGTACTTTTTTCTGATTCTAAAAGTAATCTATGGTTGTTGTAGAAAATATATAAAAACATGAACAAAAAAACAAAAGTCATAACTCCACTACCTGAATTAACTATTTGTATATTTTTGACACTTTTTTTTTGTTTGGTTTTTTTAAAAAATTAAGGAAATCTCCCAGGGAATTGGGGGGGGGGGAAAGACAATGATACAAATTATAGAAAGAAAACATAAAACTAGAGGATAAATCCAGGAAGCTCAATATTCAACTAACTGGAGTTCCAGAAAAATAGAACTGAAAAAAGAGGGGAGGAAACCTTCAAAGAATGATATTAGAAAATTTCCCAGAACCAAAGACCCTCACTAAGACACATTATTATGACTGAAAATTCTGGATATAGGTGACAAAGAAGATCCTAGAACCTTCCAGAGAAAAGCATGACACCTACAGAGTCTCAGGTCTACAAGTCACATTGCACTTCTCAGTAGCTTTACTAGAAACTAGAAAAAAGTGGAGCAATTCCTTCAAGATTTAGAGTGAAAATTTGTTCAGCCTAGAATTCTACACCCAGCTGAGTTATCAGTCAAATGTGAGGATAAAAGTAAAATGTTTAAGACATGGTAAGTCTCACTACGCACCACTTCTCAGAAGCCGCAGGATGTTGGGAGAATTAGGGATAGGTTCAAAGAACCCAAGCAAATGAAACAATCATGTATTAACTCTAGGAAAAACGAGGTACCATATATTACTTGGCCCAGCAGTGAACACTGATAATTGATATCGTATATATTGATATAGTAGATATAAATTAAAAGGATAAACTCTGTGCCAGTTGTAAAATGATTTCACTCATTCCTCTGTCACAGCAGCTGAGCCAGTTTTGGTACACTCCGGAGACCGCCCTGCGCCTTGCAGAGGAAGCCGTGGCAGCTGCTGGGGAAGGTGGCAGGTGAGATCAGTTTCATTTCTCTTTTGCCTTTTAATCTAAAGTAATATTTTAAATGTCCTTCCTAGATGAGACATGGTTGGTAAGAAGGCTGGACTGTAATCTGCAAAACCTGTAGTTTGTGATTCGCAGAACATGAGGGAATAAGAAGTGCTTCCCTGTTGAGTCTGGGGACACACACAGAAACCTATTCAGTGTAAGATAGCTTATCTCTGTTCCTTATTTTAACATTTTCTACTTGTTACTTTTATACCCCTAGAGTTTGCTTTAAAAGAAAAAAAATCTTGACCTTTTTGAAGTTTTAAGAATAGATTTTTTTAATTTGGTTTTTACTTCTGTCAAAACTTTGCACGCATATCAAGTCTAATGGTCCTAAAAGACTTGTTCAAAAAATAATCCTTTGTTAATTTTCCCCTTGTCCACCCACTCGCCTTTTGAGCTGTCTTTCATTGATTCTCTTGGTATTTACAAACATTTCTAAATAACGTTTATATTGGCACTTCTTGACTTGTCACTCGTAGACCTTATTTCTTGACTTCTCACCTTAAGAGAATGAGGACTTGGCTCCCTTCACAGGCCACAACTGCCACATACGTGTCTGCTTTCTGTCCACTCTCCCGATAGAGTTATATCCTTTTTTCATTTTCTTTTTTTTAATGGCTGGACTCTTTGCTAATTTTGTGTGTGTGTGTGTGTGTGTGGTACGCGGGCCTCTCACTGTTGTGGTCTCTCCTGTTGCGGAGCACAGGCTCTGGACGCGCAGGCTCAGCGGCCATGGCTCACGGGCCCAGCCGCTCTGCGGCATGTGGGATCTTCCCAGACCGGGCACGAACTCGCGTCCCCTGCATCGGCAGGTGGACTCTCAACCACTGCGCCACCAGGGAAGCCCCATCTTTGCAAATATTTTGTTGAGGATTTTTGCTTCTATGTTCATGAGTGATATTGGTTTGAAGTTTTCTTTTATTCTCTTGGTTTGGGTTTCATATTGGTTAATGGTAGCTTCATAAAATGAGCTGGGAAGTATTGCCTGTGTTTCTATTTCCTGGAAGTGATTGTGTAGAATTGGTGTTAGTTATATCCTAATTTTGGTTAGAACAGGGTTTATGTTGTTAGGACAACATAGATGTTCTTTACAGCTGAGTCTTTTCCTTTTCTGTACAATGTTTCATCTTCCCTGAAGAAAAATAATTTTTTTTTTTTAGTATTTCTATGTCCATATTACTAATTAACTCTCAAACTCTCCCCAATGGTGTGAATCTCTTATCAACAAATTCAAACATATTTTTCAGCTCCTTGAAAAAAATGACTTCCAGGGCTTCGCCCCCTGTTCTATGTGGACTGGTTGATTTCTGGGTTTGCTGCAGCTCTGGTCTACCTCTCTCGTGTTCCAGGCTCCCTCTGTCCAGTACCCCAGGTCTTAGTTTACAGCTTTATCCTGGTTGGGTATATCCTTCAATAGTTTCCATGGGAGGGAAATTCTTAAAACCTTTCATGTCTGACAATGTTTTTATTCCACCCATTCTCTTCATGTGTTAGTTTTGTTGGGTGTCGAATTCCAGGTTTTGAGGGCATTGCTTCATTGACTGCACGTTTCGGTAGTGCTACTGGAAAATACAATGCCATTGTGGGAAACCTGTTTTTCCCATCCCTGCCTACTGCTAGCTTAGGATTTTCTCTTGATCCCCAGTATTCGATGTGTCTTGGTGTGGAGCATCCATCTCTTGTACTGGGTGAAAGCCCTTCCATTCTCCTAACTCAGGTCCTTCAGTTTGGGAAAACAGTCCTAAATTATTTGATTTCCTTCCCACTTTTTTTTTTCGATTCCTCCCTCTGGAATGCCTATTATTTGAATGTTGGACCTATATACTTGTTTTTCTGTCCTTTTTCCATCTTTTGACCTTACCTTCTGGGAAAATTCCTCAACTTTATCTTTTAAACTTTCTACTGAGTTTACCGTTTCTGCTGTCATGTACTTAGTCATCTATACCATAGTTCTTTTTTGGGTCTCTGAACATTTATTATTGTATCTTGTTCCTCCTTCTGAGGATATTATAGGATTTTTTTAAAAAGAGTTAGCTCCCTACACAGTCTAACGAACTGCACACATGCATCTTCTGTTTATTTTGGCCTCTGGTATTATTAGATGCTTTCCTTGAAAGTCTGCTGGCCCCCTGCTGTCAGTCCATATTTAAGGGTGAGGCGCTCTAGGGCTGGAGGTTCTGATACGTGGGCGGGACTTCTCTACTTGGGTGTCTGCAGATGGCTGTTTCCCCATCAACGCCCAGGGTCAGCATGTCCAGGCCTTTCCTTGGGGGCTGGTTAGAGCCCCAGGAAGTCTTCCTGCCTGGAAGTCACACATCTCGTTGACCTCATCCCAGAAGGCTTATTTCTGAAAGAGGGTTGGGGGGGGTCCCAACATCCAGCGGGTTTAACGTGATCCTTGCCATTTCCACATGGTGCCTGGCACCCACCCTTCAAGCCCCCCCAATCCAGAGAACATCCCTCCAGTTTCCTACCACAGTTGTGGAGGCTTGGGATAGGGAAGAGAATCCTAGGGGTGCGTTTTCCTGTTTGCTGCCCCACCGTCTCCCCCGCTCCTTGAGCCACCTGTTCGTGCAGCTTCCTGAGCCACGGGCGCTGTGCTGTCAGCCGGGTTCCTGCTCAGCCTTCCTGGCTGCCAGTCTGGGACCTGGCTAAATGAATGTGTTCCGAATGTGTTCCCTCTGCCATCTTGAGCTGGAAGTTTAACTGGAAGTCCAAAGGTTTTCTTTTTTCTGTCCTTTTTCTTTTAAAATTATATGTAGTTTATTACGTTTTTCTTAATGACATGTTTTTACATGTATTTTCTTATTTTTACATATGAGGGCTTTGGAAGCAACTTCTTTTTTCTAAAAGGCATCGTCAGTATTTTTAGGAGTTATGTCATAATTTTAAAGATGAGTAGTAAGAGTAGCATTTACTGAGTACTCACTGTGTGGCTTGTCTCCTGGGTAAGTGCTTTCTGAGGGTCATCTTGTTTAACCCTCACACCTCTGGAGGTAGTTCCTGTTACCCTCTCCATCCTAAAGACGGACGCTGAGGCCCACGCGGTCGCATCACTCGCACAAGGGCCGCAGCTGGGAGCAGCAGGCCGTCCGCTTCCCCTGCCACTGTCGCCACACCCTGCTCCCGTGCCTTCCTCCACCTCAGACCACTGTCCTTCCGCCGGAAGTACCTCCTCTGGGGTTTCTAGGGAAGGAGGTGCTGCTGTGGTTCAGGTCCTCTGCACCCCCGGCCCAGAGCTCTGGCAGCAGCCGGGCTGGGGTCTGGTCCCCACAGAAGGCGGTCGGGATGCCCCCAGACTTCTTACGTGCTTCACGTGCATTTGGGCCAAGAAGCCTTTGAGCCCAGCGTGGGCACCTAACCAGACGTGTAACACTTCTCTGAAGAAATGCATCTCACAGTTTTAAAACTGACTTTAATTTTCTAAATAAGTAGTTTTCTGAATGATTTTATGTGTGTGTGTGTGTGTGTGTGTATAATAAAAATCTAAAAGTGACAAAGGGGATGGAGACAAAAAGTCTCTTTCCCATTGTCTGCAGACAAGCTGTGCTGTGTATCTCCAAGAGGTAAGCATAAACCCTACTCTGTGGAAGCACAGTCTACACTCTCCTGAACTTGACTGTCTTGGAGAGTAATGACAACACAGTATTCCACTGTAACAGACGTACCACAGTCAACTGAGTAATTCAACATTTAAGGTACTTCTAGCACTTTTGGCAGTTGGCTTTAAAAGTTAACTACTGGAACACTGCCCATTCATGTAATGAGACAGGTTCTTTAATTTACTTATACAAAACAGCAGCAGAAATTCGAAGTAGTCTGTCTGCACTGAGACCTAGTTTTAATGTACTTTTTTGGAAAACTAAAGTTGTTTAGGAAGTTATTTGGAGTTTTTTCTTCAAGATTATATTACAAAGTAACTTCAAAATATTTAGTTTGAGGCTAAAAAGTATTTGAAATAAATGTTAAGAGACCACCATGAAAATACTAAGTAAATTCAGGCCATGGGCTTCATAACCCTTGTCCTAATAATGTTTTACATTTTTTTTTTTACCATGAAAAGCACATTTATCCTTTCATACTTTAAAATTATGAGTTGTAGATTTGTAAACAGTAGATTCCTTAAAAGTGAGGCAGTAGAAAGTTTTCTTTCAAAATGTACTGCTGTTACTACTTCAGTTTGCATTATTGTTTCCTTTAAGAAAATCTGGACACGGGGACTGTGGCTTTTCAGTGAAGTGGTTATTGACGCCATGTGCTGTCACAAAGCTCAGTCATGAGCTGGCTCCTTTTGTTCCAGAGTAGCATGTGTGAGTGCCCCCAGCGTTTACCAGAAGCTGCGAGAGCTGCACAGAGACGACTTTTCTATCTGCATCTTCGAATATGACCAGAGGTTTGCCATATACGGAGAGGAGTTTATCTTCTATGATTACAATAACCCAGTGGATTTACCTGAGAAAATCGCTGCACACAGTTTTGACATTGTAATAGCAGATCCCCCCTATCTCTCTGAGGAATGTCTCAGAAAAACATCGGAAACCATCAAGTACCTGACCCGGGGCAAGATTCTGCTGTGCACAGGTAGGTGCCGGATTGGCAACACACATCCCATGACTTTAAACAAGGTTCTTCCCCTCTCTCTGCCCCAGTCGCCTTATCTGTACAGTGGGGCTGAGATGCTACCTGCCTCTCAGGGTTGGGGAGAATTAAGTGGCATGATGCCTGGGAATCGGGGTTCGCCACTGGGTGGGTGCACCAGGAGTGTTACTTGTACTCATCAACGTCAATAATAGTAACAGTATCTGACCCAGCCTGTACAATGGATAAAAGAAATTTGGAATCTCGGGGGTTAAAGTGGATGCCAAAGGTTACAGCGCTAGACATTAGATTAGGTTTACCAAAGCTGAGAAAGAGACTTCCGCACTGGTGATGTGGATGTATCTTCTTAAGGTGGATATACTGGCACTTGACTGAGAACGAAAACGTTAAGTGCTGGTCTCCCTACTTTGGGCAGCTTGGCATCCAGGCCTGCTGTGTGGGCCCTGCTTCCCCCAGTGCAGTGGGTGCGGAGGACAGGGCTGGAGGGAGGAATGGGCTGGTGTGAATGTATTGGTACAAGTTTGCACGATTCTCTACTATTGAAAAAGGGGTTGTTGACTCAAAGTTGGAAAATGGTGGTTTTTAGTAATTATTTTTGCTTTTCTTATGTTACTTTGTGGAATGTAATTATTAAGTACCTCAGCCTTGCAGATGTAGGAAAATTATTAAATGAAAAAGAAAAGGAAAAACGTAGGTAATTTGCATAAATGTTGGAGGAAGTAAAAAAGGAATATAGAGCACTGACCTGCCCCCTTATCGCTGAGTGGTACTGTCAACTCACCGCTTCCCGCATCTGGTCGAGAATACCTCCCTGGCCGGCCTGGTGGGTGTGGAGCTGAGACATGGTTGGTGCCTCAGTCTCCGGGTTCATCTGGTGGTTCTCTTCAGGTGCCGTCATGGAGGAAGAGGCAGCAAAACTTCTTGGAGTGAAGATGTGCAAGTTTATTCCAAAACACACTCGAACCTTGGGAAATGAATTTCGCTGTTACGTGAATTATGATTCTGGGCTGGACCGTGAACTGTGAACGCAGCTGGTAATACAATGTAGTAAAGGACCCACGTGACATTTCCCTCTTTTTAGCTACGACCTCCCCTCCTCCCTCACAAACTGGGGCTCTCCCTGGCCTAACTTTCAAGATGAAGAAGACAACATCTTGTTGTGATTTCCTTAGTGAGGGCATCCCTAGAGCTTGGGATGCTTTTGCCAACTTGAATCAGTGGAATTATATTTGGAAGAAGTCATGGAAGCCATCTAGTCTACTCTCCACTTAACGCAGGTAAAGAGCAGAAGTACAGGCGGCTTAGTGATCGGCCAGGACCTGGGCCTCTGCCTTGGGCGCATCCTGTGTACTACGGGTGGCTGCGGACACCTGCGTGTGCTTTGACAGCCATGCGGTTTGGAGTTTTAGCTGAGGACGAGGGTTGTGTCCAGTTCGCAGTTGCCTTCCAGGAGCTCAGTGCCCAGAAGAGGGCACGTGCTCAGTAGGTATTTGTTGAGTGTTCCAGTCAGAGAAAAAATGCAAATACAGGTTGCCTTTCTAGATCTTAGAAGGGAAAGCTGATTCTTCCATGGGAAATGCGTTACCTGTTAACAGCTAACGTTAGTTAAACTGACGATTAATAGAGTCTGTGGAATAGCAGTATTATCCCCACGCAAGCCGTTTACTCTGCTTCAGTCCACTCCTCCGATGTTTGCACTATTTACGTTGGAGGAGTGGCTAGAAAATGTTACACGACAGTGGCAATGCTTGAAATAATTACCCAAGGTTTGAAAGGCAATTTTTCTTTTTAATTCGTGGATTTCTTTGTTGACATATGCTAGATATACCACCACTAGGCTTACCTTTTTTTTTTTCCCCAGAGGTTGAGCACAGAAGTAAAGCTCCCCAAATGGTATAGAACTACCCACAGCTATCAATTTCAATTTTGAATTTTTTATTTGGAATTTTGCTCAGCAGTGTTTTTTATGCACAACCTCTGTCAATATTTGGTACAGATTGAAAGTTCTCTCGGTTGACCTTCTGTCCAGATCAGACCAAGACTGATTGTAAGTAGGGACAAGAGCATATAAATGAGGCCAACTCTGCAGATCATCTTCCTGAACGTTAACCATAAAATTAAGATACAGTGATGATAGACCTTATTTACCACTGTTTCCTCTGAAAATTAGTGGAGCCCAGAGAGAAATGCACAGCCAGCATGCCCTTCACCTACAGTTGTTTTAAGGATTTTAAAGAACTTTACTTTTACAAGTAAATTGTGTTCAGGGACAGACTTAAGCCTAAAGAAAAGGGTAAAGGTTTAGCTCACGTTGTGGCCGTAGAAGAGGACTCCACTCCTGATTTCTGGGAATTGTAAGTCTGCAAATGAAAAAAATTCCTAATTGTATAAACCTTACAAGTGTGAGATTCTGGGGTGAGCTGAGCCTCCCAGAGGGAGGGCAGGTCCTAGGCAGCCGTGTCCACTGGTGACCGTCGGCAACAGGCGGGGTTCAGGGACCCAGGCCACAAGGCGGGCTAGAGGGTGTGCTTCTAAATACTCCTGCCGAGGAAGTGAAAACAATTTATAAAATGTTTACATGTCAAGTAAAATGTTTTTAATATACTTGCTCAAAATGGCTAATATAAAGTTTCTGCCTCTACTGAAAATACCTGAATAAACAAGAAGGTATATATTCTACTTTTTTAAAAAAAGGTGGTGTTTGTCTGTCCTCGAGGCTCTGTCCCCTCCCAGCGGTCCTTGCAGTGCTATCACCCGTGGTTGCAAGGGGCTGGTGGCCGGGAGCCTCAACGAACTCTGGCGAAGCGGGTCACCTGTGGTGGCCCCAGCCTTGGGCCGCCCACACAGGGCTGCCACGTGGTTAGTTCCTGTCACCTTTCACTGCCCCGCGCTCCTGCCCAAGAGGAAGCCTGGGGGATGCAGGGGGTCAGGCTCGCACGCAGTGCAGTCCAGTCCAGCGCTGGGTGCTCCGTCCGAGTTTCCTTGGGGCCTCGGGGTCCCCGGATTGGGGATGGGTGCTCAGGGCCGGGCCGGCTTGTCCAGGCTGGAGTTGGCACCGTCTGCATCCTTGTCTGGCCCGGGCACGCAGGTGCAGCCCACGGGGATGGTGACGTACTCCTCGGTATAGACGGCGCGGCCGCCCGCGCAGGCTGGGGTCCGGCGCAGGACCACCGCGGGCACGAGCACCGGGACGCTGCGCAGCCGCACATCCTCCTCCCCGCGCGGCCCGGTCAGGCAGCCCCGGCACAGGCAATAGGCCTCGGGCAGGTACCTGGGGAAGCGGCCGGGGTCGTAGGAGATCCTGTGGGGAGAGGACGGGCCCTGAGGGCTTGGCTTCTGGGCCGGTGGGACTGGGGTCACTGACTAAGCGAGAGGCTGAAGCCGAGCAGCCACTGGCCTTCACTGTATTTAAAGTGAAGACAGTTTAAGGCCGCCACATTCCCTGCAAACGCTTTCAGACTCTGCACCAGTGCCCGTAGGACAGGTGTACACCACACAGCCCGCGTGCTCAATGAGATGCCCCCAACCACCCTGCTCTGGGCCCTCACCACCCCACGGGCCCAGGCCGGGCCGACCCTGGCCTCCCCGCCGCTGACAGAGCCTCAAGCAGAGGCGGCTGCCAGACACCTACCTGTCCAGGAGACCCTGCATCCCACCGTCCATCAGGGTCCACGTGCCCTCCCTCCCGCGTGTGGGAAAGGGGCCGAGTCACGCCAGGCGGTGGGGGGCGGGCAGGAAGGACTGGTGGGAAGTGAAGGATGCCTTAAACTGGACCACTTTCCGTGTTCCTCCAGGTCTCCCTACTTTCTGGTCAGATGCCAAGACCCAAGTGTCGGCACCCAGGACGATCCTGTGGCTGCTGGCTGGACCCTGCCCTCGCCTCCCTGAAACCAGGAGGTCACTGATGGAACCCAGGACTCCTCCGTAACGTCCCCTTGTAATGGGGACACTTGCCCCACCTCATGGGATCGCCAAAACCCCAAACTCTCATTTCTGTTCATCTACCCTCTTACTTTTGGAGCGGGGTCCTTGTGACCCTGAAGTCTCAGAGTCACAGCCGTGACCTGACCTCTCAAGGGACACACATCCATACATCCACCAAGCACCACGCCCGGGAAGGCCCCCCGAGTGCTGGCCCGAGGGGAGCCTAGGGAGGAAACGAGCCAAGCAAGATATGCCCAAGCGTGCCCACCCCTGGGACCTGGGGCTCCGCCGGGAGGGCGTGGCCAGGCTTCCAGAAGCTTCTTGTCCCTCACACGCAACTTCTGTGGACTAATGTCCCTCGGCCCTCACCGTGCAGGACTGGAGGGTACCAGCCAAGCTAAGAAGTTTCCAGATGAGAAGGACCTTCTGACAACCAGTTAACTAAAGTGCAGAGGCGGGAAGTCACGCGATGGGTGAACTGGGCAAACTGGGCCGGGAGGCAGAACCTTGCCAGCTGTCAAGCGTGGGGGACTGGAGGCCGCGTCAACCGGGCCAACTGCCCGTGGCCTGTGGACAGCCTCAGGAACGGTATCTTCACGCTTGACATCAACTGCCTGCCACTTACACAGCAGGAAAGAACTAAGGCGGGGTCAGGCCTGGGCCTGAGGGAGGGAGGGAGGAGGCTGGTGGGGAGGGAAGGGGTGGGCCTCAGGATGCTACAAGATGGAGGGTGGTGCTTAAACTCAGGGACCACACCACCCTGCCCCTGAGCATCCCAGAGCCCAGAGGGACATTTCTGAGTCCTTGGCCACCATGTGGATGTGGGGATGAGGTCAGGGGAGAAGTCGGGGTGACCAGGAGGATAGCAATGGGGGGGCGGGGAGGCCTGGCTCTGACTCCCTTCTCACTGCTGTGCAAGGAGGGGCCCTGGAAATCTGTGCGCCAGGAGGAGGGCAGCGGGGCCAGCCTGCGAAGGCACCTGCCTGCCCCCGGGACACGGAGACCCACAGCAACCCCATCCGGCCCGCATTACCACAAGGAGTTGAAAATACCTTTTCTAAGCGTATCATCACTTTTCCCTCAGTGCTGCCTTTGGAAGAACTTTACTTTTCCAGCTTTTCCACCCCCATAATGCCTCATTCCCATCCCCTCCAGGGGCACAGGCCCCCCCACATCCCCTGTTGGGCAGGGGCGGTCACGTCAGGAAAAATCCCAGCTCCTCGGCTTTGCCTTCAGAGGCCTCCACGACCTGCCCCTCACCCACATACCTTCCCAGCCATCCGAGTGCCCGACACCCGCCCCCAGAGTGGGACGCCTGGCAGGGGCCACGGCTAACCTTTGGCTCAGAGGGAAGGGTACGGACTGTATCTGGACTCACTCATGCTCTAACGAGCCCGCCACAGCGCCCGCATAGAGGAAGAGTTCAGCAGATGTAAGAGGGTGGTGGTGAGTCTGGACTCCTCAGCTTCCTGTCCTCCAGACCCTTAGGTCAAGATCAGACCCTGACTTACATTAATGTCTGCAATCACATTCAACATCTATTCAACAAACACCTAAGTGCCAGTGGTGTTCCAGGCAGTAGGAATATAGATGAAATACTATAATTAACCTACCATCCAAGGACTCACCCTCTCAGGGTGATAAACATACAAAGAAACAAAGAGTTAAACCCGGCCATCACAGCAGAGGCGGCTTCCTGGTAAAGTGGAACCTGGGTGGATTCATCCAGATGAAGAAGGAGAAAGGTCATTTAGGGCAGAGGTCAAAGCCTAGATGTGAGGGACCACGTCAGTTATAGGAGCCGCAGCACAGAAGAACCAAGAGCTGGGGCTGGAGCCATCTGGGGGGGCCTCCAGTTCCTAACAGGAATTTGGATCTGACCCTGAAGGCCAGAGGAAGGATGTTAAAGAGAGAAGTGACCCCATCAGACGGAATTTTAGATCCCTCAGACTACAGAGTGGAAGAAACCGGTCTGGAGCCCAAGAGAGATCTTGGCTGGAGACGGAGATTTTTAAATTATTAGCATATGAATAGTAGTTAAGGTAAGATCATTCACATAAGTGTATAGAGAGATGCCAAATAAAAGAAACTCAACAGAGGTTTCATTCCAAGAGGGAAAAAAGAGGCAGGGGAACCTAAATATTAAAAGAGCCTTGAGAAATCATCAACAAAATGAAAAGGCAACCCACTGAATGGCAGAAAGTATTTGCAAAGCATATATCTGATAAGGGGTTAATATCCAAAATACAAAGAACTCATATAACTCAATACCAAAAGAACAATCTGATTAAAAAATGGGCTCAAGACCTGAATAGACATTTTTCCGAAGAAGGCATATAGATGTCCAATAGGCACATGAAAAGATGCTCAAACATCGCTCATTATTAGAGAAACGCAAATCAAAAGCACCTCACATCTGTCAGAATGGCTATTATCAAAAAGACAAGAGGACTTCCCTGGTGGCGCAGTGGTTAAGAATCCACCTGCCAATGCAGGGGACATGGGTTCGAGCCCTGGCCCAGGAAGATCCCACGTGCCGCGGAGCAACAGTGCCCATGGGCCACAACTACTGAGCCTGCGCTCTAAAGCCCATGAGCCACAACTACTGAAGCCCACACACCTGGAGCCCGTGCTCTGCAACGAGAGGCCTGTGTACCACAATGAAGAGTAGCCCCTGCTCGCTGCAACTAGAGAAAGTCCGTGCACAGCAACAAAGACACAATACGCCCCCCCCACCCACCCAAAGACAAGAAATAAGTGTTGGCGAAGATGAGGAGAAAAAGGAAACTCTTGTGTACTGTTGGTGGGAACGTAAGTTGGTGCAGACACTGGAAAATAATATGGAGAATCCTCAAAAAAATTAAGAATAGAATTACTAAATAATATAGCAGTTCCACTGCTGGGTATTTATCCAAGGAAACAAAAACACTAACTTGAAAAAATGTATGTTCACTGCATTATTATCATGAGAACAGCCAAGACATGGAAACAACCTAAGTGTCCATTGAAAGATGAATGGATAAAGAAGATGTGGCATATATATACAATGGGATATTACTCAGCCATAAAAAGAAACAAAATTGAGTTATCTGTAGTGAGGTGGCTAGAGTCTGTCCTACAGAGTGAAGTCAGAAAGAGAAAAACAAATACCGTATGCTAATGCACATATATGGAATCTTAAAAAAAAAGAAGGTTCTGAAGAACCTAGGGGCAGGACAGGAATAAAGACGCAAACGTAGAGAATGGACTTGAGGACATGGGGAGGGGGAAGGGTAAGCTGGGACAAAGTGAGAGAGTGGCATGGACATATACACACTACCAAATGTAAAATAGCTAGTGGGAAGCAGCCGCATAGCACAGGGAAATCAGCTCGGTGCTTTGTGACCCCCTAGAGGGGTGGGATAGGGAGGGTGGGGAGGGAGGCACAAGAGGGAGGGGATATGGGGACATGTGTATGCATATGGCTGAATCACTTTGTTATACAGCAGAAACTAACACAGCATTGTGAAGCAATTATACTCCAATAAAGATGTTAAAAAAACAATATAGCATATTCGAGAGTTGCTAAGAGAGTACATCTTAAAATTTCCCATCATGCACAAAAGATGTATAACTGTGTGGTGACGGACGTTAACTAGATTTACTGTGATCATTTTGCCATATATGCAGATACTGAATCATTATATTGCACACCTGTAACTAATAATAACATGTCAACTGTATCTCAATTTAAAAAATGGAGCACCTTGAGCACAGTGATATAAGTACTGGGGCATAGCTGACCTGGTTTACACGAGCCGACCAGGTGCAGCTAGGAGTTGAGCCCCAATTCCCAAGTGTTTTCATTTGGATGAGAAACTATATGGTTGCTTAAAAAACATATCAAACCCTTAGGGACATTGGACAAAACAATGGAAAGTGTCACAGCCACGAGAGACAAAGGACTGAGGGACTGTCACAGACTGAAGGGCCCTGAGCTGCAGAGGCTGGACCCTGGGGCAGGGAAGAGGCACGAGTAGGAACCCTCTGAAGGTCACAGTTCAGAATATGGCACCGTATCCACGCAGCGCCTCATCTTGGTAATTTTGCTGAGCTGTGATGCTGACATTTGGGCAGTCTGGGTAAAGGGTACAGGGATTTCCTTGTACTAATTTCACAAATTTTCCTGTTACGTTTAAATTATTTCAAAGCAAAGAATTAAGTAATAAAAGAAAAAACTTTAAGTTTTAAAAATACGAAACAATCAAAATCTAAACTGGACTATTCGAAGATATGAAGGAAGTATTCAATTTTAGGTGTGTTCAATGGTATTGTGGTTTTGTTTAACAAAGAGTCTTTACCTTTTAGAGAAACTACCAAACTTGTGTGTACACACACACACACACACACACACACACACAGTGACCGTGTGCCTCTGAACCTGTCTCGGCAGGTCAGCAGTGAGCCTCGATTTTCAAGCTCCCACCGCGCAGCCAGTGGTCGGACACACCCGCGCATGGGACCCAGGGGAGGCCCAGGGGTGAGGTGAGGCCAGAGGGCTGGGCTCGCAGGTAGTGGGGGAGGGAGCCAGGGGAAGTGGCGCGCGCGCGCGTGTGTGTGTGTGTGTCTACACGCGTGTGTGCGGTGGGGCAGGGACTTGCGAAGGAATCTGCGACGTGGCAGGACCCCTGAGCCCAGAGCAGAGAGTCTGGAGTTACGGGTCCCGGAAGCCACAAGGGGCTGTGAGACGCAGACAGGTTCAGGCTGACAACAGGAAGCTCGTGCCGACGGCAGTGTAGACGGCTGTGTGGACGCAGCCATGGGACAGAATCGGGTGTGGGAGGGAGGCCCCAACCTGAGGGCGTAAAGATTCCTTTCAAACAACTGGGGTTTCTCTTTCTACACAGGTGACAGTCCCCGTGTCACGTGCTAGTTTTGTAGGTGGACCTGATGGCCGCCTGGATGTGGTGACGGGTCAGAAGCCTCATCCGACTAAAAATATCCCCCCGACTCCCGCCAGTTGGCCCGAGGGACTGAAGTTTCCACTGTCATAGGGACACCTCTGGCCAAGGCACTGTGACAAGGGGACCCCTGCCCACCCCACCTGGGATGGGAACATGGATGGCTCAGCATTCATGGCCGGCGTTTCTCTCAGGATAGAAATGTGCTACCACGGGACGGGGTGCAACGCATCCATCCCACCTGACACCCAGCACTGCAGGCGGGGGGCCGGCGGGGACCACGACGGGGCGTGGGGCTCAGGAGGAAAGTCCAGAAGCCTCGGGACATGGGACAGACGCAGGCCCGTCACCCCAACCCCCTGCCCTGAGATTCTGGGAAAATCCTCAGGAGTGCTTTCGGGGTAAAGCAAGCTGCCAGCAGGGATCCTTTGTCACCCCGCAAGGACACGCGGTCGAATGGCCCCCAGCGCCCACTGCCTCAGCCTTCCCACTTCTGTTGCCACCGTGCGCGCGCACCCAGCCAGAGGGAACATGCAGGAGCGAGGCCAGGTCCCCTCTGCAGGGACCCCACGTGTGAAGCTTGGCCGCAGGGAGCGACAGCTGGCCCAGCTTAATCCAGGAACAAAGGACGTGAGGAGAAGGGATGGAAACCGAGCCCAGAGGAATGTGAGTGACGGCAGGGCCAGAAAAAGAGCCGCTCGGGCCCTGGACAGGGTAGGAAACAATTCGAGGCAGTTCCCCGAGAAGTGCAGCAGGTCACCGGCAGAGCCGCCACCGTGTTTATGCACAAACCCATCCTCCCTCTTTGCAAAACACAAATGAGTTTAATTTCAAACAGCAGAGGCTGTGTGATCACTTCTTTCACAGCAATCCCAAGACCCCAGGTCCCAAAGCCAGGAAGAAGTGGGGAAAGGCCCCTCCGCCCAGAAGCAACGGATGGAACCAAGTGGCCTCAACAGTCCGGGGTCCCCAAGATCAAAACAGACTTTCTTACAGGGGTGGGTGGCCTGGAGTCAGTGTCCTGAACCTACAATTTTGGTCCAACCTGGTTACCAACCAGTGACACTGGACGAGTCATCGCCCCTGCTGGCTCTCTGCAAAGTGCATGGGATGGGTCTGATGGGCAGGCTGCTTCCTCCACCTTCTTGATGGCAGGACTAATAAAGTGATATTTTTATCAATGTTTTCTGCTTAGAAAAGACGCCTGTAATCCCCTGAGTTTCTAAGATAGCGGAGACTCTCCCCAAAGTAATTTATGAAGTCAGTGCAATTCTCGTAGATTTCTCTTAGAACTTGGCAGGCGGATCCTCAAACTCGTACAGAGAGAAAAGGGCCCAGAGCAGTCTAAACAGCTGCGAGGAAGAATAGGAAGGGCTTTGCTCTACCCGCCTTCAAGACGCTGGTAACAGGAGGACATCGGGCGGCCCTCGGGGAAGCTGAGGGGGACAGTGTCTTTTCCCAAGCGCTGTTTCTCCTGGACGCGGGCAATTAAGGCAGAAACAAGGTTTCCAAACTGTGGTTTTCAGAACCGTGTGGCATGGGGCCTGTTCAACCCCGGATTCCCACGCTTCCCTCCACACTCAGGAGCTCAGCCCGTTGGCCGCCAAGTGACCGCCTGGCTCGTGTCTGGGAGCCCCAGACAGAAGCCCCCAGCACCTCCGAGGGGGTGACTGCACACAACCGGGGCACTTCCCCATCCCCCCACCCCCCCATCTCAGGACCCTCCCGCTGGACGCCCATGCCAAGGAGTCTAATTAGCCCACAAGGTCACTGCTGAGCCAGCATCGACAGCAGCGCTGAGACTGGCTTGCTCTCTGCTGGGATGCTGTCCCCTCCCCAGGGCTGTGGAGCTCAGGGGGGCGCAGGGCTGGGCCGGGCCAGGCCTAAAAGCCCCCTGGACAGTCCTGACCAGCCCCGGGGGAGGCCGCTGGGCCCGGGTCTGAGAGACCACAGGGCACTGAGGCAGGTCTGTGTTTCCCTGTGCCAACGGGTCTGACCGCCGGGGGCGCAGGGACAGGAGACAGCAGCCCCCTGTGTGGTGCCGCCGGCCCTCCTGTTGCTCCGGTTGAGCCGGACAGGCTTTCACCACAGCTGCCAGTAAGCCCTGAACACGGCCCCACCCGACGAGAACCTGAGTGTGTGTGTCCCTGGGGAAGAGGACATGGGACCAGCTGGGAGGCAGAGGGGCCTGACCGCATGGACCCTGAGGCCGTCCCCGCGGGCGCACCTGGCCCTATGCCCGCGAGGACATCCAGGGGTCAGTGACCCTGGGCCGAGGCCACCGAGCTGCGATCCTCAGCCTGGCCTCGGACAGCC